ATTCTCAAGGTTCATATGCTGCTGCCAGCCACTTGCCTCTTGACCCGATTCAGTATATCAGGTCGACATCCCAGCGCGCCATCCGATCCACACCACTCTAGATCCTTGTTCTCAGATCCGCAACACATATCTTAAAGTGTCCAACCCACCGTCGGCACCCCACTTGGACCCGGGACTCGCGTTCTGAAAATCTACCCCCTTGGCTTCATGGAACCCATGAACCATGCCATCTCCCGGCTACTATCCTTCTTCCAACCTCGCGACACCGGCCTGACCACTTCTCGGACCATCTGGATTGCCATTGGAGCTTCACTTCTTCCTGTCGTGCTCGCGCCCTATCAGCCTTTCGCTTCATCACCGACACTCACCGTACTCGCTGAACTGCACCCCTTCCGCCTCTTTCGCATGATGGAGTGGCTCGGCAGGGCGAAGATCAAATACACTCACGCTACCGCACCTTTACCTCTACGAGAGAAGAATGGCGCGCAGACGGACTTGTTGAAGATCTGTGAGAGCAGTGTGCCACCCTGTCAACTCAACCCTCTCCTATTCAACGGCCACATGCAAACTTTCTACACCTCGGTCAAGCAGGCCGGTCCTTCCGTGTACTACAAGCGAAAGGTTTTTGAGGCCGATCAGCAGACCTACCATGGCACCTTCGCCGTAGACTTCGCCGTTGATGCCTTTGAGGAGACGGATGACTCGCTTCCGGAGCGGACCGTTCATTTCACGGCCGATGAGTTCGAAAACCTTGGCTCCAATGATACCAAGCCCCAGTTGATCGTCCTTCACGGCCTTTCCGGCGGCTCTCATGAAATCTATCTGAGGCACGCCATCGCACCTCTGCTTGAAGAGGGCAAGTGGGATGTGTGTGTCATCAATTCGCGGGGTTGCGCGCAGAGCAAGTTCACCAGCGGTGTTCTGTACAATGCTCGCGCAACCTGGGACATTCGACAGGTGAGACGAGTCCAGACGAATGCTCGGTAAAAGTGTCACTGACATGCCATTCCTCCCAGATGGTCAATTGGTTCAGAGAGAAATTCCCTAATCGACCTCTTTACGGATTGGGCTTTTCCCTAGGAGCAAACATGCTCACCACTGTATGTGTCCATGCATACGCTGACACGACATTGGCAGATGCTAACGAGGCGTAGTACTGCGGTGAGGAGGGCCCGAACTGCCAGCTTCGCGCCGCTGTTGTGTGCTCTAATCCCTTCAACCTCGAGCTTGCCAACAAGTCTCTGCAGCGAACTCTACTGGGCAAAGAGGTCTATCAGCGGGTGATGGGCAGTGCGTACCCCATCAGTCTGGAATCTTCACGAAATCAAGAGGCTAACGCGGCAAAAGCAAACATGAGAAATCTCATTGTAGGGCACAAAGACTCGCTCAGCAAGTTTACTGACCTCGACTACGAACGAATCGAAAAGGCCACTTACATCTACGAGTTCGATCGAGAAGTGCAGTATGTGGGCACCAGCCAACTATCCATCTCTTGCTAACCTCATAGGTGTGCCTCTTGGGGGTATCCTACCGAGGACGCATACTATCGCGATGCATCATCGTGCGATGCAGTGGTCGCCATCAAGATTCCCTTCCTTGCGGTACACGCAACGGATGACCCAGTATGGTTGATTTCGATTCGCATTACAGGCCGGGCGACTAACTCTTCACCAGATCGCTGTCAATGAAGCCGTTCCGTATCAGGAGTTCAAGACGAATCCGTACACCGTCTTGTGCACGACTTCTCTTGGCGGGCACCTTTCCTGGTTTGAAATGGGTGGTGGACGATGGCATGCGAAGCCGGTGAGTCCCACGTGGATTCCCCTCTACAAAAGAAACTTGCGAACTGACTCGAGCACAGGTGGTTAACTTCTTGAACCGCATGGCCTTCGATATTGACCCCGAGAGTATCAACCATGAGCTTGCTTCTGGCAGTGAGGTGAAGCAGCCTCGGTACCTGCCCATGGTGCGCAAGATGGAGATTTGTAACTTCCAGAAGGCCTGATAGAGTACACGATCTGTGAGCGTGCGTTGTGTTTGAAACTAGAGTAGTATGTCAATTAGATGTCATGTTAGATTTCAATTTCTTTAGGACCGTAAAAGCCGAGATGAAGGTGCAAGAATCACGAACAAAACAAGACCATTGTTGGGCTTTGGGTATTTCGTCTCCATTGCTCGCGTCTTGGGGTCCCCTGCAGGACCTCGCGCCACCAACCCGCCACTCGTCATGGCATCTGCGACAACGCCATGCCCGAGTCTTAAAAGCCACAAGAAGATAATTGTTTTCCGACCCCGCCTGAACGCCGAACATGATGCATACTACAGTTTGCGAAACCCATCCCTCTGCTGACAGGCGCCATTCAGCCGGCGAAGGAGACGCGCTTCTTCGACTTGGGCTTGGTGGCGCGGGTGCCCGCCGCTGCCAACTCGCTGACTTTGTCCTCGTCGGCACCCGTGTTCTTGTTGCTGCGCTTCCTCTTCTTGCGCAGGCCGTCCTTGACGTCCTCGAGTTTCGCCCTGCGCTCCTCGACCTTCTTCTCCTCCTCTAGCCTCCTCGCCTCGCGGATCTCCTCCATCTGGCGCGCCTTGATCATCTTGGACTCGATCTGGCCCTCCTTCTCAGCCTGGACGATGGAAAGAATCGTGCTCATGCTCTCCTGCGCGGACCGTTAGCAATCTGGGAAGGGCCAGGTGGGAATTGAGACCGTCTGGTCTGTACGCGCGTGCGCCCGTGTCAAAACGTACCCGGTCGTCCACAAAGATCTTGCCCTTCTTCTTGCCCTTGGGCTTCTCCACGCCCACGGGCGTGATCATGTTGAGCTTGGGCAGGCCGAGCTCCTCGTCGGTGTACTTCTTGTTCTTGTCCCTCTTGCGCTTCTCGAGCAGGCGGGCGACCTTGTTCTGCACGATCGTCTTGGTCGAGGGCGGGGTGCCGGCCGTCTTCTTCGCGCGCACGATGCCGTCGGGCGGGCCGGGCTTCTGGTCCTGGTGCTTGTTCTGACCGCCCTTGCCGCCGGCGTGCTTGTTCTTCATCGTCTTTGTCTTGAGGGCGCCATCTTGTCGGTTGCGGTGTATTGCGGTCGCAGTACAGGAGGGTGGCTCTGCTCTGTCAATTGGGGGTGGATAGAAGGTGAGAGGGTCTGGATTTTTTTTCCAGAAGGCGGGTTGCGATAAGGATTGGCCTGGCCGATAAGAGATGTTTGGTCCACTCGCGCCAATTTGAGGTGACAGCCCAATGCGGATTTGTGCATGTTGAGCTTCAGGTCCGAATCAACACCGCATCCAAATGCAGACACGCTCGCTTCGTCCATTTTATGCTCTCTCTTATTTTCCAGTTTGCTTACTGTTGAAAAAAAAA